AGGTTAAAACTATTCCTCCAATCCATAGTTTAATTCTTCACCCCCCTATCACTCTGTATCCTTGGCTTATATTATTTTTATAAGTTTCTAAATAGATTGTTATAATCAACACATAATGGGACTCACGGTCTTTAGTTTTGTCTACCTCCTGCTGACCTCTACCTTTTGACTTGGTTGATTTATGAAGTAAATCCACCTTTGTCATCATTCTTCTTAATATCTCCATGGACCTAGCACAAACCCATTAGCATGATAGATACCAAGGCAGATGCTAAGTCTCTCTGCCTTATCTGGCACTATCCAGCCTTAAGCCAGTGCCTCCTCCACACTATCACAGTACACAGAGCAGCTCTCCCTTATCAGGTATGGCACACACGAAGCCCACGTGCTGTCACTTTGCCTGTTCCACATCGTAGTGGAAACGCACTCAGGTGTGCCAGTGTAGTCTGTGTGCAGGCTTGACTGAAGCTAAGTCAGACTGAAGCAAGTCACAATTTCATAATCAGGCTGAAAGGGTCTTTCCCCTTCTTCCTGTATTCTTTCTTCATGTTCTTCCCTTTTATTTTGCCACAACATGTTATTAACGACCTTCGGTCTTCTTTGATCCTTTATATCCGACTTCAACTTTTTTTTTTTTTAATTTTTTTTAGCTTAGAAAGATGCACCAGTATGTTCAAGAAAAAGGAAACCCATACGTATAGGTGTGTGCGCACTTGTATATACATTTGTTTGAGTTTTGAAAAAATACAATGATAAAAAATCAACTTGTGATTACATATTAGGTATAAATTTTTGTCTGAGATAAAAGATTCAAGTGGAGCCTAAAATGATAGTTGCCTGATTGTAGAGAGACTCAATACCTACTAAGTAACAGGTGTATTTAGTACCAAACCAAGTTTTTGGTATAAAATACTGTAGCATTTAATAAAATGGAGAAAATTATTTTGTTTAAATTCAGACATAATAATAGATGATATTATCATTTTACCATAAGAAAACACGTATTTTATTCTATTAGAATGTTAAGCAACAGATCCTTGTAATACATTAAACATGGGTAAAGAGATGGATAATGCCAGTGACATAAAGAAAATTCAGCATCCTTATTTTCAGAAAATAATCATGTAAAAGAAAACCTATTGTGTTAAAATATTGTTTTTCTCTTTGTAAAATTAACAGTTACACTCCTGGGCATTGATCCAAGAGAAACAAAAAGTTATGTTCAAGCAAAATTGTGTACATAGATGTTTAAATTATCTTGACTTGGCAAAGCCAAAGACTGGAAACACCACAAGTTCCTCAATGGGTGACTGATTGAGCAGACCGTGGTGGCGTGTCCTTGCCGGGCAGTTAGACTTGGCAATAAAGCGAACAACTGTGGATACCTGCAGCAGCCTGAATGGGTCTACAGGGACTCACGCTGAGTGAAAAAGTTAATCTCAAAAGATTACATGTTAGATAATTCTATTTATAGCTTTCTTAAAATGACAAAATTATAGACGTGGAGAGCCGATTAATAGTCGCCAGAGAATAACGAGGGAGTGGGGTGTGGTTCTAGAAGAGCAATGGGAGGGGCCCTCCTGACGGGAGTGTCCAGTGGCCTCTATGTCAAGTCCTCTCTGTACTGTAATTCTGCAAGATATTAAGAGGCACATAGGCTCTCTATGCATCATGCCTTGTAACTGCAAGTAAAGTTTCAATTATCTTAAAATAAAAAGGTTTAATCTAATACAGGTAATTCTGTTGTTGATTAAAGAATAGTAAAGAGAATTTTCATTACCCTCAGAGGATATGCTTTTAATGTATGGGCAAAAGAATCTGATTACAGTGTTTTTACCCTCAAAGTACAGTCCATATGACTTAGAAAGATTGCTTTTATTTCTATGCTATTTGACTTTTAAAATATATCTAGAATATATTCTGTGACAAACTATCTTGTCTATAACATAATTTTAAGAATGAGAAAACTCTTAATCATAGGTTAATATAAATTATTCCGTACGTATTATTATAAATATTGAATGTTTATTTGATATCAAGTGTTTATAAGTTTTTCACCAATAACAATGTTATTGCTTTTTAATAATTTTTTATACCATCTTAAAAAAAAGGTACCAGAAAACATGATACCCAATAAGTTATTGGTTTTTGCTATAAAATTTTAAGCAAAATGAAGTATCAACTTCTTATCAATATTTTATGAAATATGAAATAGACTTATTAATAAACCACTTCAGGCCCTTTACTAGTCAGCAATCATTCAATAATAAGTATGTTTTCTTCCACTGAAGATTAATAACAGGAACAACTGCATAAACAGCTATGATAATAGACAATGTAAAGTTACTGGGTATGAACAATACACTATGGGAGAAGGGGATAGGTGATGGTACAAATAATTATTATTAATTCCAAACCAAATAACAAAGATGAGAATGTTTCCTTTATTATTTATTTTCCCATTTGTTTCAAGAACTTTTCCTTTGCATCCACAACTTGGCTAACCAGTATAAAATGTCTAGCTTTCTACTTCTCTCAGCTTTCGACATACCTTCTTACATAAGGTTAATTATTTTAAGCTTTTGATATAAACTAAGAGATGTGTCACTCCTCCTTTGAATTGAATACCGAAAGGCCATGGTCGGGTCTAATGTAAACGTTGTAACTCAGGGAATAGGGAGGTCTGAGAGAGGGAGAGAGAGGGAAATGGTTGCTTAATATAACAGTCAGAAGACATAAAATGGTTAGTAGTAAGATGGCCTTCTAATATGGCCTCAGTCTACAGCACTCCGAAATAATGAAAGTCCCATCAGAGGTCATTGAGCACAAATAATCATAACAGATATAATAAGCATGAAATAGCTTCAAATATTGTAATACTTACCAAAATGTGATACGAGACACAAAATGAGCACACATTTTTGGAAAAATGGTGCAAATAAATTTGCGTGACCCAGGGTTGCCACAAACCTTCAATTGGTGAAAAGTGTGGTGCAATACAGGAGGTGCAGTAAATGGAGGTGCCCGTGCTTCTCTTCCCCCCGACATCACAATGCACTCAAAGGTACGTTACGAATATGAACTATCATTACAGCATTAGCAAGCTGTAATGATATACAGTGATAAAGCATATAAATAAACTTTTAAATAATTATTTTATTTAGCTTTTTATTTATTATTTATTTTAATTTGACTAGAGAGGGACAGAGAGAGAAAGAAAGAGAAAGTGAGAAAGCAAGCTGTCGGGTCTGGGACTCAAACCGTGGTCGAGTGGGAGTTCAGTGCCCTTAACCACCATGCCACCTGTCAGCCCCATAAATAAATAAATAAATAAATAAATAAATAAAAATAAAGGTAAACAGAGAGACAAACAATTAAATATTATATACCTAACCATAAAGTCGTTTACAGGTTTCAAGATATGCTATCTTGAAAAAGTTACATAAATATTAAAGAAGAGTGGAAAAATATCAAACAGTGTAAAAAATGAAGACATATCAAGAAAATAAAGAATATAAACTATGTCATTGATATCTACCAAATATTCTTTGTGATTTTTATTTCAGTCAAGAAAGTTTTCTAGGGACCAACAGTTAGCGTAATGGCTATGTCGCTGGACTCCCACGTAGTCGATTGCGGTTCGTGTCCCGGACCCAGGGACTTAAAACTCACGCCGGGCGTGTGTGCGTGTGTGCGCAAGATCCTGAGAGGAGAATGGAAGAGAAGGGATTGCAGCATGGCCATCCCCCCTGCGGGGTGATTTCTCACTTTCCGTCTCTCTGTCTGTCTGTCCGGCGAGTGCACGTGCCCTATAGCAAAAACCTCTCAAAGTTTTCTAATATTTAATAAAGATAATAAGCAAAATTAGAGGGTAATAGATAAATGCTTAGTAGCATCTAAAATTATATTTGCTAAAGCTTTTTTTGTTCCATCACTGCATTTATAAAGGCATTTATAAAATCTGCAATGAGTTTTCTATATATATAATCAGGTCATTGAGAAAGGAAGAAATCAAGGGTAAAAAAACAAGGTGACCAAAAAGATGGAAAATTACCTGTTGATGAAAATGTGTATGGTAATTTCTTTGACTGTATTCATATACAGTGTCTTCATGCTGGGAAAATTCATTTTCAATGTTGTGAAGATATATAGTGACTGAATGTAAGGAAAAAAAAGTAAAAAAGAAAAGAATAAAACAGAAAAATCTGCATGGGTGATTAAACTGAAGTTATGAGAAAAAACATTTAATAATCTCTTTGTAATATTGTTGAAGTTAAGACCCTGGTTTATTTTTTCAGGGTACTTCACTACCATTTCCATAGAATGTCTGTTACTCCTCTATAATAAACAGTGTGATTTAAAAGCAAGATGGAAGCTTTATAGGGTTGGGTATTAGTGTTTTATTATTTTACTATCAGAGCTCATATAGGAAAAGACAAATGCTGCACATTTACATGACATTTTAAAATTTTTGTAAGTCCCGCTTCATTTTAGTGTCGGGCTAACTTTGTAGATGAACCACCTTCGGTACTACAAGGAATGTGTTCTCTGGATTTGCATCTTGCCTTCATTATACCGCGTATTACAATCAAGTACATCTGGATATGCCAGAGTGTCAAAACCACCATGAACTGAAAAATAAAATGTTATTGGAATATGTTACTTTTTTTTTAAGTGACAAAAAAAAAAATCCAAAGTGATGTGTTCCCATCGGGGATCCGTGTCCTAGAGTTCCGTCCCCGACCAGGCTGTGACCCACTGCTGTACTCTCAGGATATCTGCCGGAGCTCTGCTACATCCAGGCAGCGAGAAGGGAGCAAGAAGGGCAAAAACGGTGCCATCCTAGATGCCTTCTGGGAGTCTTTTTGAACCTCTTTCTCACTGCATTGGTCCGACCTGTCTGTGGGATGAATAGCACAACAGTAAAATGAGCTGACCACATTGCTTTCCTAACAAAGAAAGAGCTCTATTGACAAGCAAAAAGGGAAAATGGAGATTGGGTTGGTAACTCACAGTCTACCAATTACCCTCAAGGTGTTTTTCTTTCCTTCCCTCTCTACCCTTCTTTCTTCTCTCTGCATTTCTTTCTTTCATAAAAGAGAGATGGGGGATCAACAGGTGGCATAGTGGTTAAGGCGCTGGACTCCCACATGGCCAACTGTGGTTCGAGTCCAGGATCTGGTAGCTTGAAAAGCATACCAGTCACTTGTGTATGCATGCCCAAAATCACAAGAGGAGAATGGAGGAGAAGGGACTGCGGTGTGGCCATCCACCCTAGAAGGTGTTTTCTGACTCTCCCTCTCACTGTGTTTCTCTGGTGAATGTACATGCCCTATGGAAAAAAGTCAAAAGAAAAAGAAGAAGAAAAAGAAGAGAAGAAGAAGAGGAGAGAGTCAGGTACCATCAGCAGGGTCTCCCACACTGTTCCACCCCCCAGTGTTTTCAGCCAGTCAGGATCAGGGCACACACACACATACAGGTCATCCCAGGAACTGAACTCCAATCTTCCTTATGCCTGCAGCATCACAGAGCCATGCACAACCCCTGTGCCACTGTGCTTGGTCCAAGGTGACTTTGAATTGAAAACTTTAAGCAGAAATAGATCCTATATTACACATAGTGGAACTGATGTTCGTTCCAGAAAGCCTACAGTGACAAAATCAGTTGTAGGTATGAAAGACCACAGTTATCTGGTCATTCTAAGGGAGTACAAAGAGATCAAACAGGGCCAGATATCCAACGCAGAGACTTTAAGCTGTGATTAAGAAATCTGTGTTTAAATACAATTATAAATGACAATGTCAGGATTATCTGCCCTCTCAATATTTACTGTTTAGGTTATTCCAAACTCCTCCCCTATATGCTCTGAGTCCTGGTAATGAAGTCTTGTCCATAGACTATGACAAGCTAGTTGAAGTATTTTCCACCATAATGTTTATGGTGAAAGAAGCACCAGCCTTTCTCCTGCTGTATAGAGCCCCTGATGTTGAGGCCTTGAAGACGACCAAGACGCATCATCCTAAGTATCGGATCCCAGAAAGTTTCACTAGCATTGCAGAGGGCCAGGCCCTTTACATTGCAAGGAATCAGTCTTGGACAAATTGATCTTTATTTTTCAGTCCAGATCCCTGGTCCCTACATGTGACTTGTAAGTATTATATATCAAACCTTCAGTAAACTGTACCTTTTCTGCCCATGCGGACCGTGAGGCAGATTACTGACACTGTCATGGAAACACAGCAAAAGTGCAGAAATCTCCAGGATGTTGATTTCCATCATTTCCTGTATAAGGGAGCCTGGTACTGATTTACGAGCACTCTGAAATAAGATTGAATACATTTTGAACATTTTATCTGAATCTTCAAATGACTTCATGATTTCAAAGGTAGTCAACTAGGAAGCCCCTAGAGACCACCTACACCAATGACACTTTCATTTTTCTAAACACATTAAGAAGGGGAATTGGGGTCGGCAGGTGGCGTGGTGGTTAAGGGCGCTGGACTTCCACATGGCAGACGGTGGGTCGAGTCCTGTACCTGGCAGCTTGCTTTCTCACTTTCTCTCTCTCTCTCTCTCTGTCACTCTCTGGTCAAATTAAAACAAATAAATTTAAATAAAACAATAATTTAAAGGAAAAAAGAAAGGGAATACACTTTTGAGATTCTTTCTATTTTCCTTTGGTGGTTGATCTATGACCTCTTCTGCTATTCTTTCTGTTTTTATTGTTAAGACTTCGGTAGGATGGGTAAAGTCCTTCAATTGTGATAAGGAAGATTACGCTTCTGTTCTTTGGACACACAACTTTATAAGAAAATAGACTATCTCCCCTCAAAAGGTTCTGCTCTCTCTTTGGTTACACTTTGCAAAAGTGTCAGTAAAAACCAAGGATACTTCCTCCCTATGAGCTCTTCTGGATTGTTGGCAGCTTAAAGTATGTGGTCAGAGAAGCACCAGTTCTTTCTCCTGAGTGTCAGTGTACCCACCCTGGTTGCTGACTAAGCAGGCTCTCCCAAACATGACCACTGGGAACACACTTTTCAACTGCAGCTTTGTCTTTATGGTAGGGTGAGCTACAGGCAGGCCTGGTCACTTAGAAGTTCCTGGATGCACCAGCGCTATCCCTTGGCCTAAGCAAATATTATAGTGATGGAGTCCAAATTTTGCAGTAGGCCAATAGTTGCAGTTGACTCTACAAAACCTTTTTGTTTTTTCTGAGAGGTTTTTGCTATGGGGCACGTGTGCTCACCAGACAGAGAGAGAGAGACAGAGAGACAGAAAGCGAGAAATCACCCCCCAGGGGGGATGGTCACGCTGTAATCCCTTCTCCTCCGTTCTCCTCTCAGGATCTTGGGCACGCACGCACATGTGCCCGGCGTGAGTTTTAAGCCACCGGGTCCGGGATGTGAACCATGTTCGACTACGTGGGAGTCCGGCGACATAGCCATTATGCTAACTGCTGGTCCCTCTACAAAATCATTTTAAGAACTGAACTTAAGGGGTCAGCAGGTGGCATAGTAGTGAAGGCACTGGGCTTCCATATAGCAGACAGGGGGCCGAGTCCCAGACCTGGAGGCTTGAAACGTCATACCAGACATGTGTGCATGTGTGTCCAAAATCCTGAGAGGAGAAGAGAGAAGGAACTGTGGCGTGGCCATCCCCATTGCGTGGTGATTTCTTACTTGCTCTCCCTCTATCTCTCCGGTGAACACACACACCTTACAGTCAAAATATCTCTCTTAAAAACAAACAATAAAACAAAGCAAAAGAAAAAAACAGAAAAATTATACTTAATTCAATTCCACCAAACTTATAGAATACCAGTTTCCTTTCTAAGATGACAGTTTTAGTTGAGTTAGCATTTATCTTTCTTTAGGCAGGTAACTTATAGTCTTGATAGGTGGTTAATTCCCTAGTATGTTGATTTCCTCAACTGCATGCAATGATTAAATAAAATAATACACACAGGGAACTTACATGGTATACTTGAAAATATGCTAATAGCAGGGCTGGCGGCTGGCATGGTGGTTAAGGTGGCTGGACTCCTACATGGCTGATTGCCATTTGAGTCCCAGACCCGGTGGTTTGCTTTCTCACTTTCCTTCTCCTTCTCTGGTCAACTTCAAAAAAATAACATAATGACAATGAATAAAATTAAATAAAAATAATTATTTAAAAATTATGTTAATTGCTATGATATATAATTAAATATATTATTACTTATTGAAATATATACAATGTACATATCTATTCATAGATTAGCTTCATCAGACAATGGAAGAAACTACAACTTAGAGGATGTGTTTGAGAAGACAGCAGGTGGTGTGGTAGTTAAGGTGCTGGACTCCCACATGGCTAATCACAGTTCAAGTCTCAGATCTGGCTTGGAAAATCACACCAGGTGCATGTGCATGTGTGCTCAAAATCCCAGGAGGAGAATGGACAAAGGCTTGTGGCATCCCTCCCGGAGGGTAGTTTTTCACGTTCCCTTTAACTGAATGTCTCTCTCTCTCTCCCTGGTGAGCACATGCATCCTAAGGCAAAAACAAACAAACAAATACATAAATTGTACAAGGTCACACAAAAGTTGATGGTAATGTGTGTAATAAATGTCCAATTTTCTTTTTTTTGGAGAGGTTTTCACTATAGGGCACGTGCGCTCCCCAGACAGACAGAGAGAGACAGAGAGATAGAAAGCGAGAAATCACCCCCCAGGGGGAATGGCCACGCCACAATCCCTTCTCCTCCACTCTCCTCTCGGGATCTTGGGCATGCACGCATGCGCTGGCTTGAGTTTTAAGTCACCGGGTCCGGGACGCAAACCACGGTCAACTACGTGGGAATCCAGCGACATAGCCATTATGCTAACTGCTGGTTCCCAATGTCCAATTTTCTAAACTCCAAAATAGTTTCTTTTTACTATCTGGATGCAAAACATATTTCCAGTTATATTAAAAAGTAAGAAATATAATGGGAACACAAAGAATTTTAATTTAACTAGTAACTTAATTTTTTTCTTTATATTTTGCAATTTATAATATAAATAAATAATTGAAAATTATTTAAAATTGTATTAAATTTAAAGACCCTTACCTTAAACTTGGAATATAGTAAAATTGAAAAATTGTCTCTGAAGATACAAGAAATATCTCAATTGAGTTATGGGTCTGAAAAATGTGGCTTTGAATGTTAATATCAACAAAAAGAAAACAGAACATTATCTTCCTAAAGCAATGTTTACTTTGTATTTATATATTTATTTAGACTTTTGCTGTAGCCTGCAACCACTTGCTGAAGAAAGAGAGAGGAAAAGTGAGAAGTCACTCCCCAGGAGGGATGGCCACACCGAAGCACCTCCATTCTCCTCCAGGATTTTGGGCACTCACACCCTACTGAGTTTCAAGTCACCAGGTCTGGCACTCAAACTGACAAGGCGGGGGATCCAGTGCCTTAACTGCAATGCGTTCTGGTACCCAGTGTTTACTGTTCATTTGTTAATGAACTAAATGGCATAGAAGCCATTAATCTTTACTTTTTATTGTGTAGGCAAGGATATTGTAGTAGATAATATTTCTTCCATAAAAAAATTATTTTTTAAATTAGGAGTAATTATTTTTACCTGATTATATTTGAGGAAAGTTGGAAAATAAAGTACAGGAGAAAACAACAGTACCGGATAAGAATTAGATACCCAGGGTCTGAAATTAATGCTGCTCAAGTAAAAGTCCAGGTTCCATAATGACTAAGAATAGGGCGCGCTAAAATGCTTTTGTCATTATCCTATGAGCATAATGTTTCTCTTTTAGGTCTATTTAAAAAGTGTTTGTTTTCATAAGAGAGAAGCAGGAACCTAAGACGGACTTGTCATGCTTTGACCACCCCTCCACTGTCTTCTGGCCGGCTAGGATCATGGTGGAGTGCATGCACGTGAGCCTGGCATGTTTTAATGTGACCTGGGTCAGAACCATGGGCTTCCTGGTGACTCCAGTACTGCAGAGCCTCACCCTACAGCCTGTGGCACTACAGCCAGGCCAGCTTACTGTCTCTGTATGTAAATATGGCAAATTAAGAATGTGCACATGTAGGAGTGACAGTTTAATTGGAATAAAGCAATCAAAAGAAAGGTTATAAAAAATTGATATAGTCTGTTTTTCCAGAAAAAAAATGTTTGCTGACGTTATAAAATGTTTTTGTTTTGGGTTGTTCTGTTTTGATTTAATTGATTTTATTTACAGCTTTTTTTTTCTTTTTTACATTTCAAAGCATCACACAATTCCATTTTGTCATTTTCTGACCTGCAAGCAGATACCTTAAACAGATAGGTTTTTTAAAAATTATCAAATTAAAGGGACCAGAATATGGTGTAATGGTTATATCATTGGACTTCTTTCTACATATGCAACCATGGTTTGACTCCCTGGTCTGGCAGCTTAAACTTATGCCAGATTTGTGTGTGCATCTGTGTCCAAGATCCCAAGAGGAGATGGAAGAGAAAGGATTGCAGCATGGCTATCCATCCAGAGGGTGAATTCTTGCTTTCTGTCGGTCTTTTTCAATCTTTCCGGTAATCATACATTGCCTATAGTCAAGATCTCTCTTAAAAATATATATATATATATTACATAATCGAAATGCAACAATTACACATATAACAATCAATTCACAAAGTGTAATTTACTAGGACATATCCTAAGAATTCAGGAACAGCCAGGCAGGACAAATCTGACCAAATTGAGCAATCAACTATTTACATATCCAAGCCAAACCTATTTAAACTCCCAAACCAGAATCTTGAAAGTATTTCTTAAAGCGCATTGCAAAAGAGTGATGACTCAAACCAATCCATCTTGACAGTTTTAATCTCAAACACTGGGTTATTTCCCCAGTTTGTAATTTAATAGCAAGTTGTTCAGTTTATCAAACAACTAAGAATCAAACTTTTATACTGTTATGACCAGAGAAAGACTAAGTGTTCATTAATTTAAAAACAAAGTCATTAAATATCCACATTATTCTCCCACATTAATAGCCCATACTTCAATCCCACATATCCAACCTGTGACCCATAGTGACAAACTCTATTGTGTGTTCGTGTGTGTATGCACGCCCGTGTGTATACATATACACAATATTAAGTACAAATGTCAATTAACAGTCCCTGAAAAAAAACCCATTTTGGTTGAGACCATGGTCTTAGATTTTGAAACTGAAAAATAATGCTAAACTCTCACTTCCTTAAGATAAAACTCGATTGCATGTTCAGGTTAAACTTTTGGGGATTGTTTTGTTCATAATATTTATTTATCTACTTATCTTCCATTAGAGATGGAGAGAGAAAAAGAGAGAGGTGCCTATCAGAGGACCTTAGCCTCAGTCAGCCAGGATCACAAACCACCTGCCCCAGGGTGCACAATAGGACCTGGAACAAAACCAAAGACTTCCCTGAATGGCCTTGGTCCCGTAGAATGCTGTACCACCACTGTGTCACTGCAGTCCACCTGCTTATTTATGCATTTCTTATGTATTTATCTCTTGCATGAGAGAGCTACAGAGAGACTCACCTCCAAAGAGGTGCTTTGGTTGGAATCCGCACCGGGCCACAGCCAGCCAGGATCATCGGCATGTACACCTATCTGTAACCTCCCCACTGGGAAATCAAACCCTGGTTTTATTACCTGACGGAAACTCTCGCTATTACATTAACAAGGATGGCTTTAAAAAATAAAAGAGAAGAACCAATAGATGGTATATGGTTACATTGCTGGACTCCCACGAAGTTGACTGCAATTTGAGTCCTGGCCCTGCTGTTTGAAACTCACGCTGGGCTGTGTGCGAGCGTGCCCAAGATCCTGAGAGGAGAATGGTGGATCAGGGGTTGTGGCATGGCCATTGGCGTGGTCATCCCGTCAGGGGGATAATTTCTTGCTTTTTGTCTATCTCTTTCTGTCTCTCCAGTGAGCACATGTGCCCTATAGCAAGAATTTCTAAAATCAAAATAAAATTGAAAGGCGTTGAGATTGTTGTTTGTCCAATACTGTAGATCATAAAAAAACTTGTTCTCTTGGTGCCACCAAAAAAATGTTTAATAAAATGTTACATTATTCTGAATTATCTTACTTTATATCTGCTTTCTCTTTTTCTCAAGTTTTGTTAATTGCTCATGCTTAGATATACACAAACTACATACAGACATTTTATTATTTTGAAGTTAAATTTCAGATTCACAAACATTCAATAGTTATTATGATGAGGACTAGCATTAGATATGTTAGAATCCTGCCTTGTGTCATTTACTGATGCAGAAAATTATACCAAATTTCTCCAAGTTCTCTTCAACATTACTAGGTCGGGTCTTCTACGAGCTTTGAGAACATAACTCAAATAGAGAGAGAAGCAATGTTAGTAGAGTCTAGTTGCACTATGATCCCCTTTCTCCAGCCCTAAGGCTCCTGAGCACCTGCCCACCTACCGGGCAGGTCGATGTGAAGATCTAAACCATGACTGGCATGCGGTTTCCAGCCTTTCAGGTCACTTCGTTACTACTGCTCCACAGCAACTGGGCTGCTTACCTATTCATGATTAGTGGAAATTTAGGTTATTTTCTATCTTTGTTCACTTGAAATGATGTAGCCAAAATGCCATGAACAGAGAGGCTTAACAACAGAGATTTGTTTCTCACAGTCCTGGAGGCCAGGAACTACAAGATCAGGCAGATTTGGTACCTGGTGAGAGCCTGCTGGGCAGTCTTCTTTTTGATAACCTCACGTGGCAGAAGGGGTAAGGGGGTCTCTCTAGGTTCTCTTTTGTAAGGGCTATGGCCCTCATGACCTTTCAAAAGGGCTCCTTATGACCTAATCACCTCCCAAATGTCCCATGTGAAGCCCTCACTATGGGGATTAGAACGTCACCATATACATTGGCGGGAGACAAACATTCAGTCAATCGCATATTCATTTGGGGCCATTATAAATGGTGAAGTTGTGAATATTTGTGTAGAAGTCTTTGTGTGATCACACATCTTGTTTCTCCTAGATAAATATCCATGAA